TACAGTTCTGATACAGTTTTTAAGAGGTATCACAGAAAAACAAAGGTAACTACTGCAAGAGAGACAACCCAGCACCCCCACTCTATCCCTTGCCATGCTACACTTGCTCCTGAAGTGTTGGGTTTTCACTTTTCCTTCCTGGTTTTTTCTGCTGCCTAAGAAGGCTATGTATCTCAGTGATAGCATTTCAGTGGAGACCCTAGAACATCTGAGAGAACTTTATGGCCTTCAGCACATCCCAAAGCAGTAAAACCTACAGACAGTGTGGCTATCCAACCATACAAGACTCTTCATATCATCTCAAACCCCAGAGGATCCAATTCATGTGGTGCAGGTAGGATTTTCCTCATTCTACCAGAAAGACAGAGACAGTTTTTGCTAGGACAGTCTTTTTTTTTCTGGGCTGCATTAGCAAAAAACATAAAAGCAAGGTCACCATCAAGTTTAATTCATTAAACAGTGACCCTGACAGTAGAATGTCAAATTTGAAATTTATTTCTGGGAGATCTTATTCTCAAATTTCAGTTCAAATCATAAACATCAGTAGTTGCCTGATGTCCAGGAAGTAGAGTTAAGGTATGTGAGAAGGTGAAAAATAAGCCACTCTCAGCAGAGATGGACAATTAAACACTGCAGAGGTGTCCATGCAGAAGAGTTTTATAGTCCTCATATATTCTAAGCACACTGAATTTCCAAAAAAAGATTTTCAGACCTTGGACAACTAGGCTTACACTGGCACCTTAGCTGATCTTTACTCTTTTTCCCCTCAAGCTCTGCCCTCAGGCTAGTGGAAGGTCTATTCTAGTGGAAAAATAGAGCAAGTGCCAGAGTAAACCTCAATTCAGTGTGTCAACACTTACATTTCTCAAGAAAAAGCACTGTAAAAACAGAAATCCCCAGAAAGCCCAAAGAGAAACTTCCAAACCAAGATTCTGAAAAAGGTGGTATCTGCTTTCATCTCTTTCTTCTCAGTTAGCTGAGTAATAGCAGTTAACAGTCATAAGTAAAAACTGGCCTTTTTTTTTTTCAATCTAACCTTTGGAAGTCTTGAAGCCACAATCACAATTCCACGAAAGATTTTCTTTCTTTTAGGCATACTTTGAATCAGTTACTAACATGGAGGTGTCTAGCTCAGATTTACTGTTGTTCTTCTCTACTGTGCAACCCTCCCTACCACTTACCTGTACAAAACCCAAACAGTTAAATTTTTCCTGCATAGGGAAGGTCCATTTATCCTGAAGAATCTTTGTTTAAAGAGTTGCCGTACTCTCATTACTACATGGTGAAAATCTAACATTATGAGAAAGAGAGAATCTAAGAAACAATAGTATGTTCTCAAACTAACTGACACAACTGCACAGAAATATGAGGAGGAGACACAGTGGGCCACAAACACCTCCCTGAACCTGCATGCCCTAAACCCTTTTTTTTTTTAATAAAAAAATATAAGAACCCAAACTTGCCCAAGATATTCTCGTTTCTGCTTTTTCTCAATACCCTTTCCAGAAGGAAGCAAAACATTTTTTAACTGAATTACGTTTTCACTTCTATATGTAACTTCCTCCATGTTGATTAGGCTTCACAGGAGAACAGTTCTGCCCAACTCGTTTTTACTCCTGGCTTTAAAATGTGAAGAGTTTGACTCACTTGTTTTTCCAAGTTGAACACAATGCAAGAAAATAAAATTTATCAAGGAACTATTTAGGATTGCCTCTACAACTATAAAAGTCAGGTCAAGGAGTAAAAACTAATTCCAGCAGAGTCTTCAACAGTACCATGATAAAATGACAAAATTCTAAATCCTCCTGAGGATTCTGCAACCTTGTTGACAGATCTTCTCCAAACCTATTAATTTAAAAGAAGGATTCTGGTGGTGGTTTAAATGCAAAAGTGGTCTGTGAGGAAAGGCACACATGGCTCCCAATGCAGAGTATTATTTTAAAAAAGGAAGATATCAGAAGCAGTTCTTCAGAAATCTTAGAGGTGCAGTTGTTTAAATGCCAGTATCATCACATATGGCACCTGGAAATCTTACTTGCCCTCCTCTTTCCCCATACACAGGATCCCAGTACTTGTCATTATACATCAAATCAGTGGTTTTTTGATATTTCTGTATACACTTCTGTTCACATTCTAGTCCAGCAAGTCTTACAAAGATCAGTTAGGAATTGTGAGCAAAATACCTGCAGGCAAATAACTTTGTCCCCAGGCTGTGCAGAGCTGTCTGGGGAGTAATCTCCATCGAGCAGGGTCTGCTGCCTCCCCCGTGTCTTGCCCACGGCCACTGGATTGATGGCTTCCAAATGTGAGGGGTTGGGCAGCAAGGTGACGTGCACAGGCCTGTGGGCACCGAAATCGAGGTCTACAGAAGATGTCAGGTGGGAGAGAACATCCCCAATGGCTGCTGAATTCTCTGGGAACTCACTCAAACCACGCATCTTACGGAACATGAGCTGCATGGAAACAGATTTGGTCAAAACCCTTTTCTGATTCACTGACACGGTGAAAGAAAAGCATTTACTGAACCCTATGCTCTCCTTCTCCTGAAATTACAAGGATGCTTCTGATACCAGCACAGAAAGCCCTGCATTAGAGTGATTTTTACAGCCTCCTGTGGACAGTTGGCTGAAGTGTTGACAGGAAGGGAAAACACTCTCACACAGGTTAACTTTTATGGCTCCAGCCCTTACAACACGACAAACTTTTGGGGCTTTATTTCACCTCAAATAAACCAGGCATCAAGCAAGTGCTCATGAGATTATGAACCTCTTACCTCGGGTGGGAGCTGAAGCAGACCTGTGAGGAGATTAAGCCTTCCACGGTGAGGCATTCCAATAACAACATCCGTCACTCCGCTGTACGCACACATCTTGAACAGCTCGTGGAAGAAGCCCATCATACTCTCTGCCCCCTCGCCGCCATAGCGCTTCACCGTGGCAAACTTGGTGGCTAAGAAGTGATCAAACTCCTGGGAAAAACAGGACAACTTCAGTATTAGGCTATTTTAAGCAGCAGTCTTCTGTTTAGGATTTAGGTTTGTATCCTTAAGGCACACAAACCTAAAAACACTCCTCCAAAGTCTCAGCTCACTCTCCACCCACACAGTCTGAGACCAGAAGCTGTGATGACTACAAGAAATCAGCTCTTATCTCCTCCTAAGCAGAAAAATGTTAGGTTGAGGACCAAACTCTCTCTGTCTAATGTGGAAGGAGATGTATGAAGAACTGTAACACCAGAGCAATTTACAAATTACTTAACAGTTTACCTGGTTTAGGTGGAAATTAAGGAATGGTGTTCTTTTACAGTATTAAACATAACTATCTTGAGATACAAAGTGCTGGAGAAGCACAGTGTTTCATTTTGATTGATATTTGGCACAGTCCTTAGTACACAGGTAGAATGCTTGAGAGAAGAAAAATAAATGGATCTGTATTTATTTCATTTTCTTCTCACTTCACTCCATTCACCTGTGCCTAGACAGCTCTCATAAGTGACCAAGTTTTGGAAGCACTGGAAGTGCAGAAGACTGAAAATAAATGAAGTCTGTAACTGAGAAGACAGATCCACACCCAAAAATCAGAGCCAACTGCTGAACACCCTCTAGTTAAGCAACATTCAGTTCTAAGGAATAAATGATACAAAAGTATTCACTCATAAAAGCAGTTTTTCTGTCAGGGTTAAATTCTACACTCTTAGTATAGTTCTGGTCATACTGAAATCAAAATACAGTCCCAATATCAACCTCTTGTGTCACTGTGAAATTCCTCTAACTTCCAAAGAGGCAACAAAATACAAAATGGGCCATATACTTCTGTTTAGTCATTGGTAAATATTACATTTAACACTCCTTCCACTTGGAAAACTGGAAACAGGGACAGTTTCACAGATCCTGCTCTTCTACCTTTCCAACCTTCACCGATCCTGCTCTTCTACCTTTCCATCCTTCTGGATAGCATGGGAAGAAAAGGGGAAAAAATTAAAATTTTTCACAGTACAGAAGTGTTGGAATCAATTTTCTCTATACATTTTGAAAGCACATAAATATTTCATTTCCTCACAGAATGCACTGAACAAAGGTTCCTTGCTGAAAAGCAAATTTGCCAGTGCTGTATCACACCTCAGTCCAGCTGTGATTTGTTCTCCCAAAACCTTGAGAGATACCATACTTTAAAGCCAGTAAAACAGATCAGCACCAGAACACAAGATTTCACAGAGCTCTGCCCAGCCTTGTGTTCCCATCAGTAACATTTCAGTGAGCTGTCAGATCATTAGCCTCAGAGAATCTCACTTTTGAAGACTGATTACTCATGGGTTTGTACAAACCAAAATATGGCTCTTTGTTTCAATAATGGCTGCCAAGTAAACTCAGCAACAAACTCCAGTGAGATTGCTGCATTTGTGTACTGCAAAACCTTGTACCTCTTCCTCTTGCACACTGTCAAAGCCTTTCAGGATAGTGATTGTTCTTTTTCTGCATGAATAGTGTTCAGAGCAGTAAAGGATCCATGACAAGATTCCACAACTCTATTACAATCCAACAATGGGGAACAAGGTACCTGGGACTCCAGCATCAGTTTGCACAAGTGCTTTTTCTCTTCAGGTGTAAATGCTTCTTGCTTTAGCTCTTCAAACCTTTTAGCAAACCATTCCCTCTCCTCCAAAGTTGGAAGCTGGCTTGTTTCTATGGAAATATGCCCGCAGTATATATGGTCAAGGTAAGCCAACACATCCTCTACGGAAGATTCTTCTTTTCCCATGTTTAGAAGTCCTGGTGGGAAATAAATGTTATTAGTCACTTTGAGGGAGGAAGGGGAAGCACCAAGGCATGTTTTGGAGAAAATAAAGCATGGAGAGAGACCCTCCTCTGTTCAAGGTCACAGCAACAGTCTAAGAGAGACAAGAAAAGACAAGTCTTGATTTCTGCCCCTGTACTTTGACAGCTTCACTACACTGTTAAGTATGTAAATCATCAAAGTAACAAGAAATTAATGTTTAACATCAGTAACTGTAAGAACAAGTACAATTTTTCCTGATTTCCAAAGATGCTAGAAGGCAGCCACTCGTTGCACTGTGATTTCTGCAACAGACATAAGCAGGCCCAAGTTGACAATTTCTCATCCAAAAGTTCATTACTGATTGAATCACCACTCAATATTTGGCTCTTCCACAGAGGCCACAGCCTCCCAATAAACCACCCACGAACAGAACTCACTGTGAGCAGGCTGTGGACTTACCTGTAGTAACGAGAGGCCCTTGAAGAACTTCAGCCAGCTGTTGGATTTCAGGTACCATGTTCATAAGAGCCTGGCCAGCAAACAGGGGGTTTATTTTGGCTGCTTTGTGGCCGTGTTCAGCGTACGCAGTTATTAAACGAGCCAGAGCATGGTCAACTGAAAGCAAAAAGAAAGCAGAACAGCATCACACATGTGCTCACATTTAATCTACTTACAGCACCAACACAGGAATGTTTTGTCCACTGGCAACTATCAAGGTTCTGGCTGGAAAGAGAGTATCTAAGCAGTTGGTTTCACCTTATCACCCTACAATACGTCCATCAGCAAACTGCTTGATCTGCTCACCCCTCCAGTTTTCCAGCCAGTACGTTCTAGATTTTCCCCACGGCTCCCCTCATAAGTTAGGCTCCTGTAAACACATGCAGAACTACTTCACTTTGCTTTGAACGTCTTTACAACAGGTGCCTCCACCTTGAGAACAGCACATCACCAGCACACAAAGTATTATTTCCTGAGCCAGTTCAATCATATCACTTATGCTCCCCTGTTCCTTGCTGGAATGACAGGAGGATTGGGTCTTAACAATAATTCAGGTCCCATGACTTCAGAAAAAAAGGCTGTTTCTGCAGGAGCCAAGAGCATGTGCTTAGCCAAATGTGGTAAAAATTATCAACATAGGCAAACGAGCAGCTGAAAGGTCACACACACACCTTATTGTCACTGAGCACAGACCACGAGCCAGGCTGATAAACTGCACACAATAAAATATACTGCAAGCAGAATCTGCTACAAATTAATTATATGAACCAGTTTATAATCCATTCCTAGTGTGGAGGAGTTTTTCATCTTGGTAGAGTGCTGACAGTATTCAAGTCTGAAGGCTTTCATTTTCCAAAACAATGCACTTCTGAGACCATTTCACTAAGTTATTTCTCTGACATTTGTGTTTCCATTGCTCACACTCTGCTCCAGCCACTATGTTCATAAAGTCAGCCCATTCAAAACAGGCCCTTTTCTGTAGTGGGTTCTGCAAGGGGGACATGACGCAGAACATTACTCTAACATTTCCCACAATGCTCTCAGCAAGAAAGCCATTTAAAATGTAACATAGAAATATGTTAACTATTAACAAGGAGGATACTTTGTGACAGGACTTGGTGTCCCTGAGCTACCAACCTGTTTCACTCCTGCTTCTTTCCAACAGGCTTAATTCACAAAAAAATCCCAGAATCATTATGTTTGGAAGGGACCTCTGGAGATCATCCAGTCCAATCCCCCTGCCAAGGCAGGGTCACCTGGAGCAGGTGACATGGGAATGCATCCAGGTGAGTCTGGAATGTCTCCAGAGAGGAGACTCCATGCCCTCCCTGGGCAGCCTGTTCCAGTGCTGTCACCCTCCATGGAAAGTTCTTTCTCACGTTGAGGTGGAACTTCTCGTGTTTTAGTTTATGGCCATTGCTCCTAGTCCTGTTGCTGGACACCACTGAAAAGATTCTGGCACCATCCTCCTGGCACTCAACTTGGAGATATTTATGTGTATTGATGAGATCCCCTCTCAGTGTTCTCCAGACTAAACAAGCCCAGCTCCGGCAGTGTCTCCTCATCAGAGAGATGTTCCAGACCTGCCATCAGCTTTCTGGACCCTCTCCAGCAGCTTCTTCTCTCTCTTGTCCTGTGGAGCCCATTCCTATCGAAGTCTCCCAAGCTGTTAACGCAGGGACCACACTCCTGCCCCGGAGAGTTTTGTGCACTTGAAATCATATTTCTGCACTATAAAACTGAGTTAAAATCATCACAGTTGCCGCTGTGGGAGAGAGTTACCTGCACTGGTAACTATACGGCCAGTTCAAGCACCGTAACAGAAAAGGAAAACGACAAGCGCGGGGCAGAGGTACTTCTAGGGCAGCAAAACTGAAGTAACTTCGAATCGCTGAAGTAACTCCAGCAGCTGGTGCTGCCGGTGGCGCGGGGCCAGGCACCACAAGTTTCCCGGCCAAGGGCTCTGGGAGCGAGCGGGACCCGCCGGGATCCCGCGGGGACGGGAGGCGGCGGGGACAACACACGGAGCCCCTCAGCCCGACCCCTCACGGCCCGCGGTCCCCGCTGCGGGGCAGCCCCCGCCGCCCAGCCCGGCACAGCACAGCCCAGCGCCGGGGGTGTCCCACCTGCTCTGCCGGCTCCGCGGGGCTCCGCCGCCCGCCGCGCCGCCGCCTTGCCGGGTTTGTAGCCGTAGACGCCGCGCTCGGTGCGGTACCAGCGCTGCGGGCCGGGCGGGCGCAGAGCGCGGCGCAGGGCGCGGGCCCCCCCTGCCAGCGCCGCCATGGCCGCGGCCGCGCTGCCCCAACCGCCCGCGGCGCCGCCGCCACCGCCCCCCGGCCCGCCCACAGCACCGGGGGCGGCGCCGGGCGGGACCGGGCGGGGCTGTCCCGGCTGCGGATGGACAGAACAGGGCAGCGGGGAGGGAGACGGTGTGCTGGGCTGCGGGTGAGGAGCGTGTGGAGAGCTGTGTGCAGTTCTGGGCTCATCGGGACACGAGAGACCCCTCCCCACTGGAGAGGGTCCACAAAGCTGGTGAGGGGTCTTGGAACATCTCCCCTTATGAGGAGACACTGCGGGAGCTGGGTCTGTTCAGTCTGGAGAGGAGAACACTGAGAGGGGATCTCATCAATACACATAAATATCTCAAAGGCAGGTGCCAAGAGGATGGTGCCAGACTCTGTCAGGACGAGAAGCAATGGTCATAAACTAAACCACAAGATGTTCCACCTCAACATCAGGAAGAACTTCTGTCCATGGAGGGTGACAGAGCACTGGAACAGGCTGCCCAGGGAGAGCCTGGAGTCTCCCTCTCTGGAGACATTCCAGACCCACCTGGATGCATTCCTGTATCACCTGCTCCAGATGACCCTGCCTTGGCAAGGGGGTTGGACAGGATGATCTCCAGAGGTCCCTTCTAACCTTAATTGTTCTGTGATTCTGTGAACCACCAGCAGGTTGGGGGAGGTGATTCTGCCTCTCTGCACTGGTCTCATGAGACCCCACCTGGAGTACTGCATCCAAGTCTGGGGTTCCCGGCACAGGAAAGACATGGAGCTGTTGAAGTGAGTCTAGAGGAAGCCACCAAGATGATTACAGGGATGGAGCACCTTCCCTACAAGGAAGGGCTGAGGGAATTGGGATTGTTCAGCCTGGAAAAGAGAAATCTTTAGAGTGACCTAATTGTGGCCTTCCAGTACCTGAAGGGAGCCTACAAGAAAGACTTTTTACAAGAGCATGTAGTGACAGGACAAGGGTGAATGGATCCAAACTAAAGGAGAGTAGGTTTGGATTAGGTATTAGGAGGAAGTTCTTTGCTGTGATGGCGGTGAGGCACTGGCACAGGTTGCCTAGAAAAGTTGTGGATGTCCCATCCCTGGAATTGTTCAAGGCCAGGCTGGGTGGAGCTCTGAGCTGGATGGAGCTCTGGATTAGTGGAAGGTGTTCCTGTGCATGGCAGGGGAGTTGGAATGGGATGATCTTTAAGGTCCCTTCCCACCCAAACCATTCTGTGATTCTGTGATTGCCAGCAGGTCCCCTCTACTCAGCAGTGGTGAGGCCACACCTGGAGCACTGTGTCCAGTTCGGGGCTCACCAGTACAGGGCAGACATGGACATACTGGGGAAAGTCCAGTGAAGGGCCATGAAGATGATGAAGAGACTGGAGCACAGATGAGAAAGGGCTGAGAGAACTGGGACTGTTCAGCCTGGAACAGAAAATGCTCAGGAGGATCTTATCAATGTGTGTAAATACTTAAGGGAAGGTGCAGAGAGGACAGAGCCAGGCTCTGTTCAGGGGTGCCCAATGACAGGACCAGAGGCAATGGGCACAAACTGAAACACAGGAGATTCCCTCTGAACATTGGGAGACAATTTTTTTCACTGTGGGTGACCAAGCACTGGCACAGAGCGAATAAATAAAATTGAATGTTGCAAAGAAGGCAAAAGGATACAACTATATGACACTGGTCATGTGGCCAATACAGTGAAGCGTAACAGAAATTGAATATTAATTTTTTTCAGTTAGAACAAAGGAACTTTGAAAATAATGCTGAAAGGTTATATGATTTAGTGAAGTTGACAGTAGAGAGACATAAAGGGTTGATATAGTTAAACATTTCCATTCTGTGCTTGGGGAAAAAGACAAATGTTGCAGGCACACTGCATGATGATGAAATACTTTTCCACAGTTCTTAAGCAAATACCAGTCGAATAGCAGATATCAATGTGGTTTTGCTTTAAATCAGACAGGCACTTAGCTGAATATTTCCCAATTAGCACTGATAGGAATAGGTTTGAATATTAAAAATTTTCCATTTTTTCCAATGACATGGTTCAGCCACACAATGTGGGTCTTAGAGAACTAATTAAATATTTGTATATATGAGTTCACTTAGTGGTTCAATCAAGTCTAAGCAGGGGTTTATGGAATATACTTCTCATCAAGTCAAGTTGCTGGGTTTTTTCTGTGATTCAAAATCCAGTTAATAAAGATTTAAAGTCCTTCACAGATTTGCCAGCATGCTCATCTTGTGTAGGACATGATTACACGTGGCAAAAGCCTTGCTGGAGCTGTATCTGGTTCAATAAAAGGTTTTGTTGACTTTGGCTCGTATCTAAATGCGAGGAAGTGGTACCTGTGCCAGCAGAAACGCTGCTCCTGAGGATGTATCCAAGGGGACTCTCCTGGCCTGGCTCTTCTGGCACAGAGAGCCTGTCCTAGAGAAGGCTCCTGTGTGAGGCTGATTCAGTACTACCCGATGTTCTCACCAAAAAACCAAGAAATGTTTCAAAACCAAGGTTGTATATAATAAATAGTGTGTGTCTGACTATCTAGCAAATCTAAACTTGCAGTATTTTAAACAGAAAACCATAATCAGCTTGGAGTATTTCTGAAGGCATTATAGCCCTTGCCACTTTAGGAGTTATATCAACCCAAAAAAACTGCCCACAACTGGAGTCCTGAGGAAGATTGTCAGCTGGAGGTGTGTGGTGAAGAGAGGTTACCTTGGATCTGAGTGTCAGGATGGAGATAAGCAAATGTGGTTTATTGTAACAGGATAAGATGAAAGCTTGTACACCTTGAAAGAGTATGTGCACCAAAATGCACTTCCTTTCCAGGAAATAGGGACCATAAATAAACTACAAAACTTGTGAGAAAAAAACCCAGACAGGTCTAAAAAAGTTATATCTGCTCACTTGGCAAAAAAGGATGATTTCCTGGATTTAGCTACAAGGAAATAGTGAGTACACCTACAGATTCTGCATTAGGCCAGTATTTGGCACAATTTGAATCCTCTGTGCAAGTTGCATGACAGTAATTGAGGAAACATAGAAAAACTTGGGAAGAAGAGCTTCAGGAATTAAAAAAACCCCTGCTTTATATCTGAAACTCAGGAAGCGAGATCTCTGTGGTTTTGGTAAATCAGTAGAAAAGCTTGATCAGTGTGTGCACAAACCAAACAGGTGCTTTAGAAACAAAAGCTTTCTGAGCTGTCAGACAAAGGTAAAACCAGATCTAATTGTGTGGCCTTTACACCAACACAGTCAAAGGTGTGGAAGTGTGTGGTATAAACACACAAGGACCTTTGTTTCCTCTCAAAATTGTGGTGATTGTGCACTTTATTCATGTTAGAAAGGGCAGTGACATCATGCTTCAAAAGAAAATAAGCCAACATTTCCTGGTGTAATGCCACTGCCAACTTAAGCCTGATGTAACACTGAGCCTGCCTTTTCAAGCAGACCCAAAAATGAGTAATCCAAAGGCATCCATTGACATCCATTGGTGCCTTTGAAAAATTCAGTGCCAACACTAAAATGGATTTTACCGTGTCTAGGCCACGGATCTTCTCCGCTCCAGTGAATCAGTTTAATCAACTTGGTAACTCAAGATATTTTGGCAAGTAAATGAAATCTTTGTGTAGCAGGGACATATGAATGATCTCTGTCAATAACAAGCATGACTTTGTCCTTTTGAACTTGTGCAGAAAGAGATTTTCAGACATGTCTGCAAAATGAGCAGTGAAGTTAAACGAGAGAGAGGAGAAAAAAAACTTGTCTAGTCCTGTCTAGTCCTGGCAGAGCACACCTACAACTCTGCATCAGTAAACAGAGTCTCCTATTGGGACTGACTCCTGCCTCCAAATAAAAGGTGGCTTTAACAGCTGAATAATCTCATTATCCACATCAGGCCTGCGCCTGGTGTCACAGTCCAATATTGCTGAGGGCTTGTTCTAAGCCTAGAAGGGTTTAAATGCTTTCCCAACCTTAAGAAAAAGCTTCTGTCAGAGCCTGGATTCTAAATGTAAAATAAACACCAGATCCTCACTCTCCAGCTCTGGGCTGTGCCAGCTTTTCCCAGCCTGGGCAGCTTTAGAGTTGCCCCAGAGGCGATGCCATGCCCAGACGTGCAGACAGGGAACATTTCAAATAAATTGGGGAATTCTGTGCCACTAAACTCACCACTGCAAAATGCCTTCTGGATCTCCAGGTGGGAACAGCGCCTGAGCAGGGGGGCAAAGTGCAAAGGCCAGATTTAGACTAGAAAAGACACTCTGACAGAATCACAGTGTCATTAGGGTTGGAAAGGACCTCTGGAGATCATCCAGTCCAATCCCCTTGCCAAGGCAGGGTCATCTGGAGCAGATGACATGGGAATGCATCCAGGTGGGTTTGGAATGTCTCCAGAGAGGAAGACTCCAGGCCCTCCCTGGGCAGCCTGTTCCAGTGCTCTGTCACCCTCCATGGACAGAAGTTCTTCCTGATGTTGAGGTGGAACTCCTTGTGTTTTAGTTTATGGCCATTGCTTCTCGTCCTGACACCAAAGAGAGTCTGGCACCATCTCTTGGCACCCACCTTTGAGACATTTATGTGTATTGATGAGACCCCCTCTCAGTATTCTCTTCTCCAGACTAACCAGGCCCAGCTCCCGCAGTGTCTCCTCACACGGGAGATGCTCCAGACCCCTCCTCATCTCTGTGCCCTCCGATGGACCCTCTCCAGCAACTCCTTGTTTCTTGCCCTGATGACCCCAGACCGGGGCACAGCCGCGGACACCCGTTAACCCCCAATCCCGGTATCACTGGTTGTTAACCCGCCGCTCCCCGCGGTGTTTTGAGCGGTGACACCCGAGTGTCCCCCCGGCCGCTGTGGCACAGACACGTCAGGGCGGTGACGTCAGGCGCGGCCACCGGCCGAGCCTCGCGCTGGGGCCGCCAAACAAGCGGCATTCTGAACTCATTCTGAACTCATCCCTCCCATTCCCGCCGCGGCCGAGCCCCTTCCAGTTCCTTTACCTTTTCCCCTCCCCTTTCCCGCCCCATTCCCGTTCCTCTTCCCCTTCTCCGCCACTTCCGCCTCCGCAGGTCCCGGTAACCCGCCCGCCGCCAGGCCCCCGCGCGGGGCTGCCCCGCGCGCCGCCTGACCGCCGCCTCTCGCGAAGCGCCGCTCCCCACCGCCCGTAGCCGCGGCCACGCCGCGCTTCAGCGGCGCCGCCCTTCCCTTCTCGCCCGGGCGCGGCGCGGCGGGCTCGGCCGGTGCGGCGCGGGCTCGGCCGGTGCGGCGCCGGGGCTCAGGCGGCGCCGCGGGCGGCCCCGCGGCCGTGAGGGGAGCAGCGGGCGGGGGCCTCGGCGGGGCGGGGGAGGTGGAGGCGGCGACCGGGCCGGGCGGGCCCATGTCGGCACCGGGCACAGGTACGGGGGGAGCCGCGGGCGAGGGGGGCGAGAGCAGGGCGGCTCCACGGTGTGTGTGTGGGGAGCGTGGCCCTGGGCAGGCGTTGGGACGGCGCAGGGGCCTGGCGGGGCCGCGGGGAGGGGGGTCCCGGGGGTTCCCCGGGGCCGGGGAGGGGGGGTCGAGGCGGGGAGGGCTCGGGCGGCGGTGCCTGAGGGCGCGGGGAGAGGGCAGGGCGTGCTGGTACTGCCAGCCGGGAGGGGCGGTGGGAGGGCGGGCTGGGAGCAGGCGTTGGGGTGTGCGGGAGCGAGCGGGGCCGTTCAGCGCCCCGTCTGTGGCCGCCGTTTGCCGGTGGAAGGCGCGTCCCCGCGGGTCTGACAGCGAAACTCTGAGTCCCGAGACGTGAAAGTAAAAGCGCCCGGCTGCTCGCCAGGCCGGGCTGAGGATGGGTCAGTGCCGTGGAGTTGTGTCAGAGAGGATATCGGGGAAAGGTTGTTCGCCCAGAGGGTGGTTGGGCACTGGAACAGGGTCCCCAGGGCAGTGGTCACAGCACTAAGCCTGACTGAGCTCAAGAAGTGTTTGCACGATGCTCTCGGGCACATGGTGAGATTCTTGGGGCTGTCCTGTGCAGGGCCAGGATCTGAACCGATGATCCTTGTGGGTCCCTTCCAACTCGGAATATTCCGTGGTTCTGTGAACCTTCTGTGCCAGTGCATGGGGTGCTCCTCTCTCTGCACTGTGGTTTCCTGCTCTGCTCCTTGTCTCACCTTCCAAAACTTGTGGCTGAGTTTATTTTCTCCTCGTTGACCAGGGCATTTTTCTGCTCCACCTTCCTCGTTTTTCTAATGCACCTTCCCTTACTTTAAGAGAACCCTGATTACATTTAATTCCTTGAAACTTTTAGCTTTCCAGTGGTGTGATAACCAGTGATGGAGGAGTTTGTTGCTCTGTCAGATTTTTCAGCTGGTCAGAAGTGGGGACATCTTGCTTCATATCCCCTCATTTCTTTTGTAGTAGAATAGCTGCAAAAAGGACCATTTATGTGATCAATTTTATTTCCAGTGGCAATAAAAACAGAACATGAAAAATCTCAATATGTTTAGTTTAATAGAGCTGTATTTTTCCCCCCATATATGTGTTTGCAAGGATTGAGATTCTGGATCGTGTTAATGCAGACTGTGAGAACAGACTTTTTATTGACTTGACAAGATTGATTTGAGGGCCACGGTGTTGGTGTTTATTCTTTATTCTGAATTGTGACTGGGTTAACGATGCTGAATACCTCATATGACTCTGGTTTCCTTGAGAGTAAGTACATAGATGCTTTTCCTTAAATGTTGCTTCTGTATCTCAAGACGTGTTTCTTAAGTTTCTGAGCCCAGAGTATCATGAACCCAGTCCCCCCACTTTTTCAAATTCCAAGAATGGTATGAAGTTTAAAAAAAAAGTAGAAATTTAGGTACACTAAAAATGTCTTAACCACAAATGAGTTAAGGTGTGTCAAATATTGGAAAATTAATAGAAGTAGTTTTCTCTGAAAAAATAGTGTCTGTAGGCACTGAAACTAAGGAATGTCAAAGCATGTGAGTGTCACTGCAGAAACAGGCTGCCAAAGGCATGTGGATGTTTGTCTCGTCTCTTTTTTTCCTCTGTCCTTCCTAATTTTCAGCTGTGAGTGCTGGTTTGTCTGTTGGCTCATGGAGTTCCTGTCATTATTGTGCCTTCTCATCAGTACATCTCTATAAACACGAGGTATTGAATAGAAGTTCTCTTAATGTTTCCATACCATCCCCTTAATTTGAACCAAACTCTATTTTCAGCCTAATTCCCTCTGGAAATGAGACCCAGGCGAGCCTGCTGCCTGTCTTGTTTCCACTTGTCCCTGCTTCCCACATCTTTTGAGCCTTTCAGCCAGTTTCAGTCCAACTAGACAGAAGTTCTGAAGGTCTGAACGTTCCGCAGATCTTGTGATAATTGGCAGCTGAAGGAAAGTAGTGAGGTCTGGCTCACCATTCCTGCCCAGGGAAGGGTGATGGACGTGCTCCCGGGACAGTTCTGGGGCAGTTCTGCACGGTCTGTCAGAGGAGGCTCCACGCTGGATCAGCCTGTGGATCCGGGCTCAGTGTGTGTGTGGCTCCGCTCTGCTCCGCCTCCTCCTGCCCGCGGGGGTTGGTGTAGGCACAAAGGAGCTGGCAGAGCCATCGGAAAGGTTTGGGAGATAAGGAGCTGTACACGTAGCAGGCAGTGAGGAGTATTGTAACACACCTGTTCTGGGATACAGGACAGGAATCTGCTGTAAACAAGATTTTTTGGTCACCAGTGTTCATGGGAAAAAAGTGGATAATACTGCCCTGTGGTTGAAATCATAATGTGCCTAATTAGGCTCTATCCCTTTACTTTTTATCCCATCTTCTCTGTTTTGCTTTTATACAAGCAAACGTCCCATACATCTCTAAAACAGAATTCTGAGTTCCTAAATTTAATAAGAGCTTGATACCATAATGATTTTGGTGGTGACCCTGTTGTTCAAAGTTACACGTGTAGGTGGATATTTTGTTCTGTGGTGGGTTTTTTGTTTGTTTTTTCCCAAATTGTAATTGAATTACCCTACTGACAGTAGGTGGGGGCCAAAGATAAAAGCTGGAGTATTGGAATTCTGACATACTTTTCCAGCATTTCTTTAATCATAAACAACCTTTTTCTCGAAATGTTTTCTTTTTGAACTGAGCTCCCAGTTTAGTAGCTTTCAGAATCTAACGCTTTCTCTTTTTAAAATGAATGTGTTACTCTATTGTTTTTTTTCATTTAATTGGAGAGTCTCATGCATTGTTCTGTCTCACCTACTAGCGAGATATTATGTTGATGTTTAAGTGCTGAAAGCTTTCCTTGCAAACCCCTTTTGTTAAAAATGGTGGGAGGGATAATTTAGCTGTCTCAAAATGATGGAAATTCCAATGTGGATTCATAGTGAGAAAAAATTCAAATAGTTATTGTTGATTTTAAAACAAGATGTGCAGAAGATTTTCATCTTGCAGGTGGAGCTGTGAGGAACAGGTCCCACTTGACTGGCCTGCAGATATAGAAAAATTAGTTCAGACTTTAATACGAAGAGGTTTAGGGGGCTGTTTAGTTGTTTGGGTTTTGTTGACCCCTTCTCTCTCACGTTAAGTACTGATTTCACAGTAACACTGTTTTAAGATGATGTAGTTCAGTGTTTTTGAAATCCAAGCAGTTCTAAGATCTTGAGATGTGAAATCTTTTAGTTGTAGGACATGCATTAGGGAGCCAAATTTGCTAGTGCTCGTTTAAGCAATGCTGATTTGATTTCCATAAATCAGTGTCAGAGACATTTCTTCTTTGGTGCTGTTGCCAATTGCTGTCAAACAGGCGAAGTCCTGAATAGGTTCCCAGTTGGTAAGTTGTCACTGCCTATATCTGAATACACTGTGAACTTTAACATTTTTTTCTTTAGAAGACCTGGACAAGCACCTTAGATATTGTAACACAGAGTTCCATATGGGTGGGATAGTCAGTATGTCAATCTGTCATCTTATTGTTTGGGAGGTGGGGGAGGAAATGTGAAATACTTACTTAGAAACAGAGATTTTCTTTAGTGTGGTGTCTTACTTATAAATATATTTCACAATAGTTAAAAATAATACTAGAAGCACCCTGCATTAGATTGGCATGCAAGTGTCTCATCATCCACTCCGAGTAGATGCAGGAAATCTGTGAATTTAGCACGTTTTCATCATCCAGTCAGAGTTAAATGTCAGAAAGGCAAAAGTAGGGGTGTCAGCTGGGAATCAGACTGGTGTTACTGATAAAAGCAGTGATGGTTCTTCAGAAGGGATCACATGCAGTGGTGTCCCATCAGTCCCACCCATATATGCATTTAACTTGAAGCATGTGAACACTATTTTTTGTTTTAAGAGGTCAACGTAGCATGAAGTAAATAAAGCTTAGGTGGTTCTGATTTTCTCTTGTGGTCCTGTTTGGCCCATCTGATCCTGCCATGAGTCAGCAGAATGCCCTTCATTAGGGACAGCTGCATCTGTAGTACCAGGAGTTACCCATCAGGGTGAAGAAGGTGAGTCTTCCCCCTCTATTTGGTACTTACAAAACCACATCTGGACACCACATCCAGGTCTGGATTCTCTGTTCCCAAGGAAGGCATTGACATACTGGAGTGCCACCAAGAACATCAGGAGGCTGGAGGACATGATAGGTTAAGAGTAACAGAGGGAATTCGAGGGTTTCTTAATCTGTGTGAATAAAAGGGGAAATCTTATTATTGTCTTAAAACAGTCTAACAGGAGA